ATTAATATGAGGAAGGGATTACTATGGGTGCATTGGGAATCACGTGGGTTCAGTATGGCAGTCCTATGGGTTAAGGTGCTGGCGCAGTCGGCCAGGTTTGTGGCGAAGGCAACGCCGGGATCAGATGCGCACTTGGGGATGCACTCAGGGCCTCGGAACACATCAGGGTTTAGGGTCCAAGGGGCTCAGGGTTCAGAGGGATTGGGGTTTAGGGTTTATGTGGATTGGGGTCTAGGGTTTAGGGTTCCCTATCGTGATGCGATCGCTTGGGCACTGCCCTCATCCTGCAACAATCGGGTCATAATAAGGGCTCTATATAAATATATATAACCATAATATAACTAACATCAGACGGTTCCAGAGTGGGGGCAGAATCAAAGCCATTGCAGATAAAACCTCCATCCTTATTAGGGTAGTATTGAACTCAGTATTAAACTCTACGGCTCCAAAACTCATCTACTCTTGACCACAGACATCTGCGCTGCAGAAACTGCAATTGCTTTTTTCCGCGCACTGTACAAGCACCGGCTTTGCATTCTTGGTTTCTGGAGGGGTGCAGTGTAAGGCTGCTTGCTCCGCAGGCGAAGCCTGCGGCAAAAGCACCTGCTGCACACGACGGCCCGGTTGGCCTAGTCAACCTCCTCAACGGTCGGGCCGCTGGCGCCACCAGGGGCACCGCCCATGCCGCCACCCGGCATGCCGCCCTCGGGCATGCCGCCACCGCCTGCCGCTTGGTAGACCTTCATCATGATGGGGTTCACGATGCCCTCGAGCTCCTTCTGCTTGGCCTCGAACTCGTCCTTCTCGGCCAACTGGTTCTTGTCCAGCCAGTCCAGGGTCTCCTGCACTGCCGACTCGATCTTCTCCTTGTCTCCACCCTCGAACTTGTCCTTCAGCTTCTCCTCGTTCAGGGTGTTGCGCATGGTGAAGCAATAGTTCTCCAAGCCGTTCTTGGCTTCGATCTTCATCTTGTTCGCCTCGTCCTCCGCTCGGAACTTCTCAGCTTCCTGCACCATGCGGTCGATCTCGGACTGGGACAGGCGACCCTTCTCCTTAGCTTCAACCGGCTATGACCACATTTGAGCTAGTCATGCAATTCAGCAGTTCCATGAAAGCTGGAAATGTCGTGACAAAGACCTGGAAACTCAAAAACTATCTGAATATGTTGGGCACGTGGCGTTGGTGATCGTGATCTGGTTGGACTTTCCTGTGGACTTGTCCGAAGCGCTCACGTTCAGAATGCCGTTAGCATCGATGTCGTAGGTCACCTCGATCTGGGGCACGCCACGAGGAGCTGGCGGGATGCCATCCAGGTGGAACTTACCCAGCAGGTTGTTGTCCTTAGTCATGGCACGCTCGCCTTCGAACACCTGGATCAACACTCCCGGCTGATTGTCTGCGTAGGTGGTGAAGGTCTGTGCTTTCTTGGTGGGAATAGTGGTGTTGCGCTCAATGAGTTTGGTCATCACGCCACCAGCGGTCTCCAAGCCCATGGACAATGGAGTCACATCCAACAGCAGCAGGTCCTGCACCTGAGACGAGCCCTCTCCAGTCAGAATAGCAGCCTGCACTGCGGCACCATAAGCCACGGCCTCGTCAGGGTTGATGGACCTGTTGGGCTCCTTGCCGTTGAAGAACTCCTGGATCATAGACTGCACCTTGGGAATACGGGTGGAGCCACCAACCAGAACAACGTCGTGCACGCTCTTCTTGTCAATGCCAGAATCCTTCAGGCACTTCTCCACTGGACCCATGGAGTTGCGGAAGTAGTCCATGCACAACTCCTCAAAACGGGCACGGGACAAAGAGCAGGAGTAGTCAATGCCCTCGAACAGAGAGTCGATCTCGATGGTGGCCTGTGTGGAGGACGACAGCGTCCGCTTGGCCCGCTCGCACTGCGTTCGCAAGCGTCGAATGGCGCGCTGGTTGCCCGCCATGTCCTTGCCGCGGTTCTTTCGCCTTGTGCCCCAGCTTTGTGCGAAACACATGGAAACATGCCAAACACTACCTTGCCGGAGTCACCATCGTACATAACATACTGTGCCAAATTTAAGGGCAAGCAGCTTGAAGTCCTGCATGCAGAAGTCCACCACTCGGTTGTCGAAGTCCTCACCACCCAGGTGGGTATCGCCCGCTGTGGCCTTTGCAAGCTTGAGCCACTGGGTCTTCCGCAAAAAACAAGTAATCCGAACTTGTTGAACGTGCGCAAGCATGAAATCAATCAAGCTCTGGATACACGATGCTGCAGGTATGGCCCCTTCTGAGTTAGCTGGGAAATTCCTTCCAATTACCTGATCCAAAAGACCTGTGTCGCTCTTTCAAGAGACCGACCCGGTGCGGAGTTCACGATTCCTAGCTGAGCCCCAAACCTATGTATTGGAACCCAAGAGTATGTAAGGTGTTACGGTTTTGGGAAAGCTAGGTACCTGAAGCCAAGAGTACGCAGAATGCTGGCTCTGCTGGTATTTTTTTCGGGTTATTCTTTCTCCATTTTGGGATCAAAGTAATGGACCGTCTGCTATTTTCTAGTATCCTTGGCTATCATTTTGCCTACTTTTGAGGTCCTAGACCCTAAACTCTACACACTAAACTAAATCCTAAGCCCTACACCTTTAAAACAACCCTAAACCCTAAACTCTACATCCTACACTGGCGGCCTTCACCTCGAAGATGCCATCCTCGATGGTCAGGAGGGATACATCGAAGGTGCCGCCTCCCATATCCTCTGAAGATGATTGGTTTATGGGGTTTAGGGTTTAAAGTTTAGGGTTTAGGGGATTATGGCTTGCTGTTAAGGAAATTGAACTAAGGTACCATAATAGGTATATGTAGTGAATAATAGGATTTAAGATAGTGACTCAAAGTACGCTCCTTCACAGCAACCCAGATGATGGATGATGGATTCAGAGGATATGAAGGGGGGATTTGAACAAAAAATCAGATTAGGGTTTAGGGCTCATAAGTCACCCTATGGGACCATGTGCCCAATAATTGGAGGATTGGTTCCAAGTAATCGTGGTAGAGGCTTTGGACACGTCCAGACTTTTTGGGTACTTGAACCCTTAGGGTTAAGTAAGATCGACTCAATTGCAGCGTCGTGTTCGTGTTCGGGGATTTTGTGGGGCGGACTTTTGTGTAGGGTTTAAGGTTTAGGGTTTTAAAGTGCTTCATTTGGGATGTAGGCTTGCGCCGGAGCGATCAGTTTTCAAGAACCTGCTCGAAATTAAACATCCCAAGAGTCATAGATGAGGACGTTGCGCTCTCCGGAGCCCTTCCTGAATCAACGAGAGAGCAGAACGGATGCTAGAAACTTAGAGTACGGTATTCTGATGCAAAAACCCACCCATGCAGCTGACAAAGCTTGCAATTGCTGTCAAGGCAAGAAGCTTGTCGAGGCCGTATGCCTAAGCTCGTCACCGCTTAGGTTCTTAGAGGCTTCAGGACACAGAAGAAGAAAGCTATGGAGCTGTGGTACGATCGCGGCCGCAGTCGGCTCATTGATGATGCGGAGGATGTTCATGCCCGAGATGGTTCCTGCTTCGACTGGGCTTGGCTTACAGACAGGTCTTGCCTGCTCCTTATGACGGATATCCGACGCTTGTGAGCTCAACTTTGAAGCTGAAAACCTTGCACAGCGAATGATGCCGCTTAACCCTTGCGCCTGCATCCTTGGTGGCCTGGCGCTGCGAGTCGTTGAAGTACGCTGGCACCTTGACAGGAAGCTCAGTGAAGCCGTACTCGAGTAGCAATAACAAAAACCACCGGGGTGGGGTCCTGGAAACCCCAGCCCAGCCCTCTTGAACGCAAGTTCCTCCTAATCACGCATGGGCACCGTCACGACGGCATCGTTGACCTTGGTGCCGAGGTAGGCCTCCGCCGTCTCCTTCATCTTCAGGAGCACCATCGACGAAACCTCCTCCGGGTGGAACTTCTTCTCCTGCGCGGCATCGCATCGGGCAGGCTTATGAGGCGACAGTTCAAGGGACAGCATGATGGTCAAGGGTCCTACCGCAGCCAGCACAACATCATGATTGTGTTCACTGGCCTTACCACGTCTTGGTTCGGGCTTGCGGTTTGCTGCAGGATCCCGGAGACTCCTCGCCCTCCACGGTGACCACGATGAGCGGCTTGTCGCTGGGACCGGAGACGCACTTGAAGGGCCACAGCTTGATGTCCGCCTGCACGATAGGGTCGTTGAACTTGCGGCCAATCAGGCGCTTGGCATCGAACACCTGGACTGAGGGGCACATGCCACTCTTGCTGGGTTTGTCTTCAGGGCGAGTGCTGCTCAAACATGCAAGACGCGAGCTGAAACCTAGACCGGGCTGCCGTGTTCTCGGGATTGCGGGCGACCTGATTCTTGGCTGCATCGCCAATCCTTTGACCAAACAGACGGTCCGAAGCAACAGCAGGATAGCACAGATCTGCCCTGAAAGCTTACTGGAGGCAGGAGGGAATAAGAGATACATTATATGCTATTGTATGGGGATTATATAGGTGTACGGACTATATTCCTTCACTCCAGATTACCACCCAAAAGGGAATGAGCGTGGCTCTTCATGGCTTTCGATGCTTTCGAGGGTCAGGCGCTCGGTGTCTGTGAAGGCCACGTAGGAGGGAGTCGTCCGGTTGCCTGTGTCACGGAACTGGCATAGTTGTTGAAACTACTATAGGGATTATATTATATAGGGTTTCGGTTGTACGGTTCTGTATTTTTTGAAGAAGACAGTCAAGACCCTGTGACAAGAAAGTATGCTACTAGGTCGAGTCTGCCAGGCCTTGATCATTGGCAATGATCTCGACGCCATCGTTCTTCCAAACTCCCACGCAGCTGTACGTGGTGCCGAGGTCCTTGCATGGGTCAGGAAGCCACTACACATCATTTCGCGAGAGCGTGTTACCACCCGACTTCCTCGAGGCTCGGTGTCTTGCCGGATGCTCCCCCTACCAACAAACATGCTGCCATCCAAGGGAAATTGGGACCTGACCCTTCTTAATTCAAAGGGTACACACACACCCACACACACACACATTTGGGCTCGTGTAACCCTGTGGCCAGTCTTCCTATGCTATTTGAAACCTTATCCGTGTTTTTTCTAGTGGTTATCGTTTTACTGGGCTGGCCTACCAGCACTGTCTAATAATACTGGAATTATAAACCTTGCCGTCTTTTGTGTATTGGTTATCGTTTTACACAAACAGGACCGCTCCAGGAAAGTTCTGACAGCGGAGATATTACCCAAGCCCATGTACGGACCCAATGCCATGAACTTCGCTCAACACAAGATCCCAGGGGCAATACCGATTGCGGTCTTCTTGGCCATGGCTTTGCGGGATCGATAACAGTCAGCAAAAGGCTGGTCACTGCAAAATTGAAGGCTGCAGAGAGGGAGCCGGGGGATATCACATCACGAAAAACTGCTCAGCGAAGTCCGCGGCACCCTGAGGACAAGAATGGGGCGGGTGCCTTTCCCCGACCCTGTAGAAAGAATCTGGAGGAAAACGCCAAATGAAGAGCTATCATGGCACACCATATCATCGTTATTCTCGCTCGGATGTCCGAGTCTTCATGACCCTAAGGGCGTGTAACTTTTGTCGATATAGTGGCGATAGTGCCCAATAAGTAATCCAATACCTCCTCATACCTGATATACCTCCAATTTAACTACACAAGCTCCCAGCACCCAATTATATGACCGAAGCTTCATCCCTGCATCCCTTGAACACCGGTCCATAGACCCCTCGTGAAATCCATAAAGTAGGCAACAGCCGCCGCAAGACAGGAGTCCTACATCTATTGCGCATACACAGGTAGTCCCCGCATTCCGCCCCGCAACCGAAAGGGGTCCCCCTTAAAGGTCCCTTCTGAAGCCCTCAGATACATGTTTTCAAGAGAACCGGCTCACATAAACAGTCAGCAAGAGGCTGAAAATAGCTAAACTCATGGCTGCAAGGTGACCTGTGACTGCGAATTATGTGGGTTGTTCTCAAAATTATGGGCCCCTTTTGGTAATAGACAATGTTACGGCACCTAATATTTCTCGAGTGTTCTATCTTCATTGCCCTTGGGGTCTCCAAGTGGCCAGTATTCAATCATGTACCTAAGCCCTCCAACCACCCTCTATTCAGGCCCATGTACCCGCTATTAGGGACCCTATAGTCCGGATTAGGGGTACTGGGAGTGTCTTGGTGCACGCTCGAGCAATCAACAGAATATCTGGGAAGCCTGCTTTGCGGTACAATGGCTCCATCGCGACAACTCACCTGGGCCCAATGTCTATCAAAAACCTTGTGGCTTTAGGCCAAATCTGATTCCCCGAAATATGTAGAATAGTTGCCCTTTCGGGCGTTTTCTAGCAGGCTTTCGGGCCATAATTTTACATACTGCGGTCCAAGAAAAAGGCTCATCATCTCTTTTAAGTACTTGCCACGCATTTCAACAAAGGACCATTAGCATGTCTTGTGAATTCATTCAATCTCCTTCTGACATCGCCTGTTGTCATGATTGGGAAAGACCATTCATCTACGAACCCGTGGGCAAGCTTCCGGGTAACTTTTTGAGGGGGTCCCGTATGAAAGGAAGCACTTGGACTGGGCTGCAAACTTGTCCGAAAGTAATGAATAACCCCCCCGCCCCCCCCACGCCTCTGACCCAAGACCCATCAGCCCCCAGTTGCATATCACAAAAAATCGACTTGAAGGTCAAGGCAGCAATAGCCCACTTCTCAGTGGTCCTGGTACTTAAAGTTGGTACTTACTTATAATCTATTCTGAAATGTAGCGGGCCTAGAATTGGGCTATGCGTGCAGTTATAACACTTGTATACAATGAGCCCCCAACCAAGAAGTGCAAAGCGTTAATCTCGCTTTGACTCCGGACACCCTGCACTAAACGTTGATGCTTAAACAGCCGTTGAAGGCTTAGGGCTTATAGGGCCGGGGGTTAAGGGTTTACTTTCATTGAATTCCTAAGCCCGAGAGCTCTGTACGATCAACCCTATTCACAAAACTACCCCCGAACCCTAAACCCTCCTAAACCCTGCAAAGCCTTTATACACCCTCTGAATCCTAAACACTTATTATGTAACCCTATACTAGACGTCTCCATTTCTAACCTAAACCCTACAAACCTTTTATAAACCCTACCACGTCATAAGCCCGTTTACCCCCCAACCCTAGCAGACTGCATCCGAAGTCTGGCCTCTGCCACATCTGGAGTAGAACCCTCAGGACAAACCTGGGAGTGTCTCCAAACTTGGGATGCCGCGGGGTTCACCCTTGGGTTTAGGGTTAGGGGAGGGGAGGGTGGGTTATGCAGGGATATTTTTCTTTTTACTAATCCAGGGTCTGCACAATGCTTATAGAAATGTAGGGGAGTTTCCATCAGTATGGGGGGCCCAATATAGACCACAATGTCTCATATTCATACAGTAGCGACCCTTACAAAAGGGATCCACCAATTTTACAAAGTTCAATATTCTTGAGATCATCGGATGGGGGTCCTTCTTGAAAACGCACGGCCGTCTGCTTCGGGCTGAGGGGGTTTAAGGGCTTAGGATTGAGCAGCTAGGGCTAGGGCCAGGGAATTCAAATCATGGTTAATCCTTGGGGTCGTCTGGTTCTGGCTTGAAAGGTGATCATCCTAAGTGCGTCGCGCACCGCCACCATGAATAATGACAAATAAATTCGGGAACTGCCGGGAACTAAGGCTTAAGCGAGTCCTCACATGGAGCAAGATTCGTACACTCCGCCTACATACGCTGCAAAAAGTTGCGGCCCTTTGTCTGGAAACCCACCCAAGAACAGAAGAGCCCGCATGATCGTGAACTTCAAAACGCTGAATCCCTTCGACCCAAGGTTATCTTTCAGTGAGAGGCCTGCCTCAGGGTTGAAGGTTTAGGATTCAGGATAAAGAGACCTGTAATACATACAGGGATATTTGCACGGCTGAGGGCTTCCACAAACTGAGGTCCCTTTTTGTGAGCTCTCGGATTTGCGGGTTTGGTGGTATGTTACCCGGAATCTGTGTTTGTGGAACTGCCCGTATATGTACACATCTGCATCATACGGAAATGCACATTTAATACGGCAATGTCTTTGTAATGCCACCGCACAAGAAATGCAAGAAGGGCACCCGGCTGCAGGCCTGCTTTTCCGACGCCACAGTCATGGCGTTTCACGAGCCCGCTTCCTGCGCGTCGTCCCGTCGTCGACAGAGCCCCAGTCTTGCAAGAGCTTTGCCAGGTCGTGGAAGCGGCCCTCACCTGCAGCAGCAACATGGACTGTCTCACTATTATCATGAAGCTCATTAATACGGCGGTTGTGCTGTTGGCACACTGCTAGAAATACAGCTGCATCCAGACAGCTTGCAACAATCTTGTAACTAGTGGGTATGACTCTGATTCTGATTCTCACGGGCTTTGGCTAATGCAGCTGCCTCCATTGGCTTATCAATGAAGCTCAAAAGCGTTCCCGTGTTGCCCAAGTCACGGGCCCCTTCCAAAGGGGAACGCCCTTCAAATGAACTGTTTGTGCGGGCACCAGCCTCCAACAACATTCTTGCCACTTCCATGTGACCGCGTCGGGAAGCCAGGTAGAGCGGAGTGAACCTCATTGGGCCGACCCTGTCTTTGTCTGCTCGGGCTTCCAACAGCAATTTCACAACTTCTGCTTCACCTTCTGCGCAAGCGCTAAGCAGTGGCGTTGTCTGCATTAACGTGGCCTTGTCAATGCTGGCACGAGCCTCCAACAACAAGCGCACCACTGGCACCCTGCCTTCCTCACACGCAACGAACAGCGGCGTGGTGCCGTGATTGGTTGCCTTATCCTTATCTGCATGCGCCTTGAGCAGCATCCGCACCACCTCTACGTGCCCATTCTCAGATGCGGCAAACAGAGGCGTTATTCCTCGCGGGGTGGTCATGTCGACACTCGCAGAAGCCTCCAGCAGCAGGGCCACCGCTTCACGCCTTCCTCGAATGGCTGCAGCGAAAAGGGCTGTAACATCGGTCGAGTCGGCTTCATCTGGATCTTGGGGTCTTTGCAAGATGGCCTCTACTTGGGAGTTTCTCAAAAGGGGGGTATCTCAGGAATCCCAAGGCATCTCTGTGGATTATGTAGGGATTGTATAGGAATCCTTACTAGGGATAAGCAGGGGACCATGTTCAGAAACTCCCACATGGCCTCTACTTGAGACAAGTCGTTGCTGCCTGAAGCAGTAGTCAGCTCGTCAACCTCGGCCTTGGAAGGGGAATGGAGAGGAAGTGCCACCAATTGTAGGTCCTCAACTGGCTCAGGACAGAAGTCACACGTTGCAGCTCAGGGCTATAGATGAAGTTGCTTTGGGACGAAAAGGGAAAACTAGAAAATGGAGGGCTGAAAGCCTAAGTGTCCATGGGTACTGTCACTTCGTCATCCTCGCAGAGGATCTTTCCGTTGCAAAGCAGCCTCTGCCGAAAACGTGGCTGCCCGCAGTAGTATTGCAGTCGCTGCTTCAGCGCCCGTGCTTGGCCGCCTCAGTCTTGGCTATGTGTCTCGCACCTGACATATTGTCGGGGCCGAAAGACTTTAGAACAGGGTTTTGAGGTGCATCCTGCTGTCGTCATGGAGCGTCTGTCATCATGGAGCGGCTGCCGGGCAATAATACTGACGACGATGTAGGCACTTACTCTATCCCAATGTAGCTGCTGTGGTTTTCGGCAATGGACGCTAGTGTACCCTAAACCCTAAACAGCTAAATCCGTAAACCCAAAAAGCGACTGCGCAGGAGCCTCTCGGTAACTCTAGGATCACTATCTTGATCAAAATAAAGTGCCCCTAAAAAAAGTAGAGTCTACGGGCTTGCGTACAGGAGAAGCCAAAAACACTACCGCCTATCCCTAACAAGCCCATGTCATTCTGTTTTGTCAATTTGATTCTCCATCAATTATTGGGGCATAGCCTCAAGATCCTATATAATCCTCGGTTTGTGAAAGCCCCACACCCTCCCTTGACCCTAAACCAGATGAATTCTTGTATGCGCCCTATAGCGAACTGGGCTCTAAGGGCCTAGGTAAGCTGAAGACCTGAACCCTAAACCCTAAACCCTACACCCTAAAACCCTAAGCCCTAAACTAAACCCTAAACCCGAAACCCTAAATCCTAACCCTAAACCTAAGTGAGCCCTAAGCCGCCTTCTTCTTGAGACAGAGCCACCGGCCATCTCCGCCACGTCCTCCGCCGTGAAGGCGACCAGCTCCGTACCCGAAGTCCGCCATATGCGTAGCATTGCGCCAGGGAAGGCTTTACCCAAATCCTTTTATGTAGTTCCTTCTTGGGGTAGTATA